CCTAAGCCCAAAAGCTCACAGGATGCTGTGAGCTGTGATACCATAGCACTCTACCAAGGGCAATAAATTGAGACTCTGTCTCTTAAAAAAAAAAAAAAAAACAGCTAAGCACTGTGGCAGTTGCCTGTAGTCCAGCTACTTGGGAGGCCAAGGCAAGAGTTGCTTAAGCCCAAGAGTTTGAAGTTGCTATGAGCAGTGACTCAACAGCACTCTACCGAGGGTGACATAATAAAACTTGTCTAAAAAGAAAAAAAAAGTTACAGCAAATATTTACAGACCATAAAGGAAAAAGAAAGCTTTTTTTACATTAAGGTAGGCTGAGCTATTAAGGCAGGCCAAGCTAATAGGTCTGAGCTATTTCAAAGAGGAAAGCCATCCTCCCTCATTGTATCAGACTTCACGGAAAGTTGCTTTCTTATGTTTACTTCACTGAATTGAAAGGCACTTTGAACACTGAATCTTTTCTTGTACAGTGTACAGGTGCTCAATATCCACTGTTTTAAGATGATAGTATAAAAGAGGTAATTTTCACTTTCAACGTATAACTATATTCTTCTTTTTTTTTTTCTTGAGAGTGTCATTTGGTCACCTTCAGTACAGTGCATGGCATCATAGCTCACAGCAACCTCCAACTCTTGGGCTCAAGCCTCCCAAGTAGCTGGGACTACAGGCGCCCACCACAACACCTGGCTATTTTAGAGGGGGGGGGTCTCGCTCTTGCTCAGGCTGGTCTCGAACCTGTGAACTCAGGGTAATCCATCTACCTCAGCCTTCCAGAGTGCTAAAAGGCTAGTGCCACCGCGCCCAGTCTCGTAGAGCTATATTAAACAGTATGACTTGTCTGAGGTGAGGCCACTATTTATGTTAGTAAGACTTTCCAACTCTTAAGAAGCCATCATTTTACCCCCATCAAACTTTCACATATTTCCATAGTAGAATAAAGACTTTCTTTTTAATTAGGAATAACTAAACCATAATTATCTTAAGGTCCTTGCCTCAAGCAATTCTCCTGCTTTGGCCTCCCAAACAAGCTAAGATTAACAGACATGAGCCTCTGCATATGGCCTTGTTTTTTTTTTCTTTCTTCCTTTTTCATTTTCCTTTCTTTCTTTATAGAGACAGGGTCTCACTATCTTGCCAGGGCTGATCTTGAACTCTAGGGCTCAAGCAATTCTCTCATCTTAGCATTCGGAGTAGCTGGGATGACAGGTCATGTGCCTCTATATTTCAATTTTTTTTTTTTTTTGAGACAGAGCTCAAGCTGTCACCCTGGGTAGAGTGCTGTGGCACCACAACTCACAGCAACCTCCAACTCTTGGGCTTAAATGATTCTCTTACCTCAGCCTCCCAAGTAGGCTGGGACTACAAGTGTCCGCCACAACGCCTACTATATTTTTGTTGTTCTTACAGTTGTCCCTGTTTAGTAGGCTGGACACTACTACTCAGCCTACTACTACTGACACTACTACACAGCTAGGTTTGAACCTACCAGCCCTGGTGTATGTGGCCAGTGCCCTAACCACTGAGCCACAGGGGCCAAGTCTAGATTATTTTTTAATTTGCCTTTGCAACATAAACTTACAAAATACTCATACATTAAATGTTTTTAATGACATAGGGAAGCACCTAATTGTGTAATGATGAATGAAATTATAGGCTATCAAAAGGAAAGAAAACAAAAAAGAAGAAACTAAATTGATTAACTGTGGATAGTGAATAATTGATGAAGCAGAAACAAATGTTTTTTTCTTCTTTTTTTTTAGAGAGACAGAGTCTCATTTT